TCGAAATAATGTCATCTTCTACTGAGCAGGGACTGCAATACCTTTGCAAAAGCCAGAAAATTGCCCAGAGCCATTGAATGCAAACGAAATTCGTCAAAACGAGAAGTTGAGTTCTTTGTTGATCCACAGGAGAGGGTCAGAAAGTGATTTCAACTTGTTTGGGCAACGCAAGTTATCTTGTAGTAACATCAACTTATAGATGACATTTTCATTCTTGGAGATCAAGTAGTCAACGTACTTCCACGGCAACGACCCAGACTCCTTCACCTTCACCAAAATATCAAATGCTGACAACTTACTTGAACCACCTGCTCGTGTCCCATCTTGGCTTGTGAATAGCTGACCTTCCTGGAAGGGATTTCGGAAACTGCATTGAGTATGAGAGGACTTTGCAGAACATCCTTCTCCACATACAGGTCTGCCAGCTGAATGATTTGAATGCGCTACTGTGAAATTATGGGAAGAGATTTATTCCGGAAACCTTCACCGCTTTTAAATTAGGGCGAGATTACGCCAAGTTCTTTGTCATCTCGCCGCGTCGACTTACAGTAACTTAGAGAGGACAATTTTGTCCTGGTGATGATTCCCTCAATCAGAGGGCCTGCATCACGTGGGAGTTGATGACACAACTCTTACAAGGACATCAAGTAACCATGTCGAGGATGGCAAACTGCCAAGTTTATAAGCTAATGGGTGGTAAGTCACCAACACACGTCAGACAACGAATGTTAGGAGCTGGTGTCTGTCTTCTCCCTTCTTCTTCACCTTGAAACCCTACTCTATGAGGACAGGCACCATTTCGTTCCACAAGGTTTGTCTTACTTTGTGAATTCGTGCTTGTAATGTTGAAACTTCTGGCCCTTCCACCTGTAGTATCTACTAAGAAGAGATCCCGACGAGTTTCTGTACAAGTGGAGAGTGTGTAGCGTGATGGTCCTATTGTCACTCAAGCCCTGATATTGTTCTACAGCGAGCTCATTTCTTCCTGCAGTGACACTAGCCGGAAGAAGGTATTAATTCACGAATCCAATGGTTAAAGATCCCCATTATGCTGGCAGTTCATCAAGGGTTACATCAGCTTTTTTAAGATCCAGTCTTGCTTAATCCAAGATTGGGATGGTTGGCGCCTTCTGCTACGGGTAATTGGAAATGCAGCTGTCTGCCTTCTGGTGTAATTTTATGAGAAGTCTAAAAGGTGATCATAACACCTGTAAAATGATTTCACCAACAACAAGAGGTCTTAAAACGCATCCAATACAGAAGATGCTCCAAATGAAAGGTTTAAAAATGCTCACCCTTGGAAGATGCAATTTGTTATTTTGATCCTCAACACAAGCTCCTGATTAACTGATATTTCGTGAGGGTGCATTTGAATTGGGAGAATGAACTCCTTGCCCTCAAGGTCACTTGAGAAAGCACAAACACGTTAGGGTTGGACGTACTCTTTACACTGAATTGGGGCCGTAAAGACTCCGTCTCCGAGATCATTCCTTCTATAAGTCGCCCTAATGGGTTCCAAACTCGTCCGCGTTCGCACTTACACATTTCCTAGTTCACAACAGCCTAGAAATAAGAAAAAATTTATTTTCCATACACTTTTAACGCTCCTTGGGTAAATATTTTTTAGCCGTCAAGCCGTCTTTTGAGATTATTCCCAGCTCCCCGTGGGTTATGAAGACATCAGATTGCCGCACATCACACTTTTTAAAACAATAGACCATGTAGTTTTTGTATGAGGGATTTTGACCTTCCACATCTAAAGCCTCAAATAATTACAGGTCTTGAAATGAGTGGTTATTGAAGAGCAATCAATTTTTTTGCTTCTTTCATTGGGAGGCCCCGTTGACACATTCAACCACAAAGAAGACAAATTTTGTTTTGGCTTTCCCATAGCAACTAGCTCCTTCTAAAGGTAGCGGTGAAAGCGAGGAAAATCCTCGTAGAGATAAAAGGAAGTGGAATGTTAGGCCGGATTACATTAATTTTAAAGAAGGAGAATTACCATTTTGGAATGCGTAATATCCATGCAGATGGAAAAAGGTGGTTACTTGACAGCCACCACCTCAGCACTGATAGATCTGCATTCTCAGAAGGATATTTAGTCGTCTATTCTCCTTTTGAACTCCATGTAGGAAGACGAAGACCAAAGGTTGCTGAAAGATGGAATAATTCTCAAGTTTAAGGCATGCTAAAAACCTTGACAATGGGCATCCTTGCCTTTCTGAGACGGAGCCAGTGGCCCGAGCGGGTAGGTAAACTGCAAAACTATGCAAGAAGTGCTGATACTTACTTCTAAATGTTAGAGCCATTTTGGCTGGTCGAAGTGGGTTTACCAACATCCACGCACATCGAAGAAGCGAAAGGGTGACTAGAAATGGATGACGATGTTGGAGTATGGGACGTTTGAGATGGTACACACAAGAGGAATTTGTTGTTTAGGCTAAAGCCGAAGGGTTGAAAGCTAGCGACCACACGTGTGATTACTGTTGTTGAGGTTCAAGAGGGTGAATGCGGTAGTATCAGTGTTGCGTTTTTCAAATCCATATAAAAAAACCAGCCTCGGTAGCGATGTAGATTGAGATTTGAGTGTGGCATTGCATACTGGGGAAGAGGAGGTTGGGAATAAGGCCATTGGCAGTGTCCGACATTACTGTTCTTCGGGCTGGTTGCCTTGGCCACTTGTGGAGGACGAATGCGACAGTGAGAGAGTGCATTTTCTGGCCTTTTTTCAGGAATGGTAGTGATGAAGGTAGACACTTGATGGGAGAAAGGTGAATTGTATTTTTAGAATGCAATTTCAAGCTAATGAAAAAATTAGTTTTTCAGTTTCTGTAGCCAATTACTGAGGGTCTCTACCATTGTACCTTCACCGGCAGGACTTATATGAATCATGCCAGTAGCCCTTTAGCCCTTCTGTACATAAGCAATGCATATCCTACCCCACTAGAGTATCTATTGTCTTCAGGAAAGTCGCAGTGTTCGAAAAGCTAAAATCTAGCTAAATTCCATGCCAATGCAGGGGGTGGTAGAATATTAGATTAACTTTAGCAGACGGATGACAATTTAGTCATGTCCAAAGAAAACAAATTAATATTTTGGCTTTCCAATAGCAGCTGGCTTCTGTTGAAGGTAAAGATGAAAACGGGTAAGATATTTGTAGAGATAAGTAGGTAGTTTTATCATAAAGGGGAAATACCTTAATGCAGTGCTTCGTACCGTAGCTTTGAAGGTCGCCTCACGGAAGGCCCTACATATTCATTGGTAATAACGTTGTTACCGTAAGCTGCTGCATGCGCTTACTACAAAGAATGTCTGGACCTGATTGATCCAAGATGCACAAGCTGAATGTAGGTTGATAGGATAAGGCACACTTGTCTCTATCACTGTATGTGGCAATGTCACAGCTTCATTCCAACTCATACCAGTAAAATGGTACCATTTTAACAAGAACTTCTCCGGGATTAAAATATCATCATATCAATTTGGCTGGCGTTCAGAACAGCTATCTGGCTGTGCTGAGAACATTTGTAACCTCAGAATGCATCCCATTCGCGATTTGCTCAAGGTCGCCTTTTTCATGTCCAAGTTACGACCATTCTAGGATGCCTCGGAACTCGTGCTCTGGTTCACTTTCCCTGATTGGTGAACATCGGGCTTGGATAGACTTCAACCATAGCATCAGTTACTATAGGGCTAGGGCAATTGCAGAAACGGTAGCACCCTGTGTCTCATCAGCAGTCAGGCAGCAGCTTCGTACGCACACGCCGTGGCCTTCGTCCGAATAGAAACCTTTGTAGTTCAATCATTCTAATCGGAATTTCAACAGCATCCATTCCAACGCACAAAAGAAGGTTAAATTTGTTATCTGGTAGAACAGACGTGGGGTGCGAAATTTCCCTCAATTACTTAAAAATATTTGCAAGCTCTTTTTCCACCGTAAACTTTTATTCCTGATAGGCAACCTTTGAAAAATCTTTGGAGAAATTAGTTCAAGGTCGCGCGTGATTAGACGACCTGAGGAGTGCTGCAAAGTTGTGCATATTATTTTCTTTAACTGACTTCGTCTTGAAAATAGGCGCGAAGCAGTTTAGATCCAAACGACTTTTGTTGGAGCGTGTAAAAAAATGAAAATTTTTTGTTCGAGCGTGACCATTGCTTTAGAAAGGCTTATAGAACCTACTCATTACCAACTACACCTTCCATATCGAGCAATATGTCTTCAGTCGTCTCATGGGAAGTCTCGGGACGCCGCATTAGTGGTAGCAGAAAGCGGGCCTCATATTAAAGGACAACCATCCTGATTTCTGTCGTTAAGTGATAAACCTTAGCGGGTTGGGAGGAGGGCGTCTGCTTTCGATTAGAAGACTAGTGACAATCTCTAATATGAGGGGTGAAAAGGTACTCTATCTTTCACAACTGCCCTAGAGTCCCGTGTTCTGCTGAAATACTGCTTGCAACTGAAGCGACGCCAGCCGTTCCTCATCGGAATTGGTACGTCACGGAATTGTCGACCGTTCCTGCATAAAGACATTAATTATTCGAACACGCGATGTATAGATGGGCAACACTGAAGTGAAAAAAAGTGGCAAGGAAGAAGAGACGTCTAACTTTATCCCTACGAAATGATTTTAAACACCGACCCTTACCAAATCGTTCTGCTTTTGAATCAGTTTTTCAACGAATAGTTATGGCCTGGATATTTACCTGTCCAGAGGTCTTGGATCTGGTTGATTTGCCAAGAGGAATCAGTGATGTTGCGGTCAAATACCTTCTCAGTTGAATGGAAATTCGATGATTGGTTCGGTCGCCTCATGGGTGGCTTTCTTACAGCACTGATTATGTTCTGTAGCCCGACTAGGGAGGTTGACCAAAAAGCTCACAAGCAGAAAGGGAAAGTATAATAATTTGATTGCCTATTTAACTTCTCGTTTTGATTACATGGGCACGTAGCGGCATGACCATTTAATTTTTGTCCAGTCGCATGACCTTTGAGCCAATATCTACGTCTGTGATACATATTTTGCTCCAGTATGATGCTTTTGTTTGTATTCAGGACAGTCTAATAGCATTACAAAACATCTGATTTCATTGACCTTCTTTTGTTTGACACCACATTTACTTAACCAAATTAAACGGCCTTTAAATTGGAGGAAAAGATAGGAGATCAAAACAAAATTTCCAATGGTGCTCACAAAACGAATTTGGAGGAGGGTTAAAATCAAGGAAAGTTGCTTTGAAATCTAAACTACGGATAATCTGACTCTTACTGAATTCTGGGTAGAAAACTAGAATTTGGCTGTTGTAATTGATTCGGTAATGTAAGGATCGCGCTATTTAGTTTGTCTAAAACCTTATATGATAGATACGCACACCTGTAGGTATTTACTCTAGGTCATAATATTAGTGCCCCTGAGCCATAACTTTTTTAGACGAGGGAATGATTAACAAGAAGGCTACTACACAAATGACTTTGTGGAGGGGGCAAAACAGTTTGAGGAAGTACAGAAATGTAGCTAGAAAACAAAAAACATAGCATTTTTCAGCCTAAGAAAAAAAGAAAATCCTCTTAATTAATTCTAAGGAAAGAAGGCTATTAGGATGTAAGGAGAACTGCTACAATCTACAATCCTTTCACAATGGAAGCAAAGACAGATGCGAATTTTTACTATTATTAGGGAGATTTATATTAGAAAACCAAATGCTTTATCCTAGACATTGTGACCTAACCCTGATTTCCTAAATACCTAATCAGACTGTCCTATCCTCTCGCCCTCCCTCCACCTCTCCCACCTTGAAGTGGAAAACCTCTAAAGGTCAAGTTTTGCTATTTGAGGTATGAGGTCAGCCACGAACAATTTTTAAAGTGGAAGAAGACTCATCGCACCCCCTCCAATATCCGAAAGTCTCACCATAATTATTTGTCAAGAAATAGTGTGTGTGTACGGAAAGCAAAAGCAGAAGAAGGGAAATAGTGGAATTAATTGATAGTTTCTAAACTCCATTATCTGACACGTGCTGTTAAAACGTTACTTGTGGGACTCGCGTGCTTGGTAGCTTGCCTTCCTCTACTTCGGAAATTGATGTACCCTTGACCATGTGGCCTGGCATAGCGGTAAACACCATGCCCTTCTGGCACGTCGGCAATATACTTTTAACCCGAGTATTGCATTCTTCCTTTGTCTTCACCGAAGTCTCGGCGAACTACACTGGCAGCAGCATGATACACACCCCATCTTGATGGACAACCTTTTTTAATTTCTTCTGCTGGGTGATAAACTTTAGCGTGACTGGAGAAGTGCATATACTGTGAATGGGAGAATCTGTGATAACTCCTGAGAGAAGAGCTGAAAATGACGTCCGACTTAGAAAACTAACCCAATTTTATGGTCTAAAAGAAAGCTATCAAACACAGCCGAGTATCTAGCCATAATCTTTCAGGAATAGTTTGCTATGGAGCTGTCAACCGTACCTGCATGTAGATGTTAAGGCGGTGAACTAGCTATACCTCCTCCACATGTCTACTAGCTGGATATATGTCTAATCAGCAGTGAAATGAGAAAAATAGAAAGGAAAAATAAGAGCAAGACCTCATTTCTAGGGAGTCATGTCAAAACCCATGCCTTGCTAACTAGCCCTGCAATTAAATCAGTGTTTCCACCGCTGTCGATGGACAAGCCTGATGGCCAGCACATTTCTCCGTCCCTCAATACAGTTCCTAGACATGATGTAACTCCAAATCCAGCAAAATTGACAAAAAGGATTGGTTACCTTGCAGTTAGATATGCCCTCAGTTGCATGCTACTTCGACGATCAACGGGTTTTGGTTAGTTTGTATTCTTCTCACAACACCTACTATGTTATAACACAATTGCTAGAAGTAGACTAACAAAAGGGAGATAGTATAAAACTTTAAAGAGGACAGGAGCTGTGTAATGCCTTAATTGTTTGTTTGACTCTCGGTTTTGGTTATGCAGGCACTAAAGTACTCCGCCATTGAACTTTGCCAACGACCCAGCCTCCAGAACATGTCAGTACAATCCAAGACCTACTAAACGTCGACAGTACATTTTCTGCTTAAGTATCATGCCTTCATTTGTATTCAGGGAAGTCTAGGGGTGCTACAAATGGAATAATCAAAACCTGGAGACAATTTATGTTTCTCCGACAGGAGTACCAAAACTCCTTTAGCTTGTCTGAAGGCTTGCACTTGCCTCTCGGATCCCGTCTTCTTCTTGGTGTAGGATTAGACCGACTTTCAATGTAGGTTTTACAATATGTGGTGTAAAAAGAATAAAAGTAAGTCTCACAATTATAGATTGCTTTAGGTGGCAGTAATAAGCTTCCTCTCGTTTACTTTAAAGGAATCACTCTATTCAAGCGCTTGACGACATGTGCTTCGCGCATGGTAGTAACCACATGAATAAACAATCAAAAAATGACAATATCAATAGAGTTTCTGGATCGCCCTATCAGAAGGGAAGAAGTTACTTTTATTGAGAACGACAAATGTACCTTTTGTCTCAAAAACAGTCTTTTTATGAATAAACGAAGTCCTCAAGTCCAGGTAAATCGACCTAGGTAGCCTACCGAAATAAGTCTACAAAGTACTCAACCAGATATTGTTTCTAGTCGCAGATTTAGCTATTTAGCTCTGCTGGTATTGCTACAATCACCGTCAGAGTTTCAAAGAGAAACAGACCAAATTGACCCACGTGAATTATCATTCTGCAATAGCAATAACATTTCAGCTGCGTAAAACATAAGCATTCTTTGGGCATTACATTGTTTTAGGCTCAACCAATCTATGTGCAGATGTCATGAACTGGTGAAGAACGCATCCATGTATACGTGCGAGGCCAGGATCTGATGTCAAATAATTGAAATATCACTAATATGTGACTGTAGTTACAAAATTGTTAACCAGATAAACGTCTGGTTTTGAAATCAGCCTTCTTACATGCAATGCTTTAAAAGTAATTAAAGTTTTGTTTGGGAGAATGATAGCACAATTTTTATTCATAAGTTTTCCTAGATTTACGCATTCCATTGAATTTAGGAGTTCTTAAGTTTGTTTGGACAATGTTCTTAAAGGTGACTCCAAGCAAGTGCTTATCCTTAGAACTCTTGCATTTCTGCTTTGTTCCGTTTGGAAACCAGCATAAAAGCGGTTTCGTTTAACATCACTTCAACTAACTCTGAAATCAAGGTACCACTACTGATTAGCATTAAGTAGGCAAAGCACTCAACAAATATTTGGTCAACCTATCGCCTGCCTCCATCTGATACTCATGCTAAAAAAATGGATTATTTCTTCCAATCCTCCAAATTAGTTTCTTAGAAAACACATTTGCAGCAATGTTTTATTGGTTACTCCATTAACTAACCCTAAACATGAGAAGAGTGGTTATTAAAACGGTGCTCCCCTTTAATGTTAGTGGGCAACATTGCGAAATTCACCGGGGTGGAGAGCGGGAGGTTAAAATTTCATTTCGCAACACCAGGAGCAGTTTGTGGCGGCTAGTGGATGATCGGAAGTAGGCTTACAGTAGCAGAGAGCACCGCCGAGGTCAACGTCAAGGAGCCGACCGATTCTGTAGGAGATAGAAAAAGGAAATAAGTCTGCAGAGAATTCACAAACCCTGGTTAACCATCACTCTGATCTAGTCTAGACGGCAGAAAAATTCTACCACCTAGAGAGCCAGTAGTTCTTCTTTCTACTTTTCTTAAGCAAATCCATTAATCTCTTGAATAATCAGTTCTTTACCCCTCTATCTATACATTGCAGTTGCCTATCGGGTTAAAGAAATTAAAAAAGGCATGTTTAGATAAATATTTCTATTAAATCACCTCGACTTTTCGCCAAAGAAAAGCCAAAATTTTTTTTTGGGCCTAACTATGGGGGTGCTCGGCCCCTTTCCAAAGGGAAATTGGTGATATGCAAGAGACTATAGAATGACGCCCCTTATCTGACTGCCATCTGTTCAGAAAATGTCTTGGCACGTAAAGTGAGCCTCCTCTTTGAAGCACTTTGCGTCCCCCTCCATACTTCCAACAGTCAGGACGGCTGCATTTAGTTGTCAGTCTCTGAGGCGCGCCAATTCTAAGATCATCTACTCGGCCTTCTGATTATCGTTTAGCTTGCTAAGTTAACAATCACCGGTACCAAATAAGCAAAAATATTCTTACCTACGATGACAAATATATCGCTCTCTACTAGACTCTTTGAAGGTTCTTTGGTGATGTTAAGTGTTAATGTTGATTCCAGATGTAGAATCCTCACAGTTTATTTATCTAGTCCTCCCATTCTAGGACTTTTATTTTAAAGCTCACCACAGTGATCTTAGAAGGAAATCAACAACGGAATTCTGGTGCGATGCCTTCAAATTGGATGGAATAAAAAATTCTAGACCTGCTCACAAAATCGAAATTCAGGACCAATTCAAATACTCTCATTGTTTACGACGATCTGTTGACGACAGCTTCTGACTCCAAGATGACAATAAATTTGGGTGTATTGAGAGAAAATGGAAAGAGTTTCGAGAATAATCTTCTAGAGTCTTGCAAAATTCATGTTTAAAAAAGAAAAGTTTCCTTCTTCAGACGTGCCTCAGGGAGAAATGTTCAACTGAATGTAAGGAGAAAGAAGTTGCTGACTTTCTTTTAATGCAGTAACGTTCATGTAAATTATTTTAGACGCCTTAATGAGCTTTGGAGTAGGTCTAGGTGGGTTTTGAGCTAGACCTGCAGATTAGAGAATATGATTCCATTTTCACAAAAGTATTCAGTTTGATTAAAATTAAAACCATCTACTTTGTCCGCAAAGCCGCGGCTAATAGAGCTAGATAAGCAAAGTGCTCCACCATTCAGCTAGAATACTCCCTTTTGATCTGAGAGGTTGCGATACGTGCACAAAATTTGTTTCTATCATTTCACAACCTAGATCAAGTCCGCACTTTGATTAAAGAGCCAAATGTGAATAAAGGAAAATATTTTTACAGCAGAAGAGCGATTTAATGAATAATTAAGGGGAGCGCTATTTAAGCAAAAACACTTAAAAATTAGATAAGCAAATGATTCTCGCATATTTGAGAGAATGGAATAAAAATGAATTTATCCCAAAAATTTTACCATGGAAAGCAATGTTGATGGTAAAAAATGCGAAATCCTAAGGATTTGTGTTTGAAAAATTACAAATAAAAATGAATAAATTATTTACAAATTCAGTTAAACGCATATGAAATCCCATCAGGCCTATATCAGGCGATAAAAAAGTCAAACTGGTGTTGGCTCTCCCCATGAATGGGACTGGTAACGAGAAAAAAGCGATCCATTCACCGGTGAACGTTGATCCCGCACAGTGAACTTTGAACGCGGGATATACAGGTTTGTCAATCAAAAAAGCAAATGGTCAGGTTACAAGGTTCAGTGTCAGTGGTGAGTTTGTCCACGCTAATTATTAGAAAATGGATCATTAGTAAAATGCATATGTAAAGAGCTGATGGTAGAAAAGTGATAGGGCCGATTTAAAACACCCAAACGTGTCGGACACAGAAGCAAGTTATCTGCGAACACCAAAGCTGCGTGCGTTTTAAAAATTAAAAACTGGGTAGAAAGTTCCCTCCACAGAGCGTACTTTCATCCATTATTCTTCAGTCCCACTAAGGTTGGAGATGGGAGTAAGTGAATGAAATAGACCACTTACCTGATGCAGCTTCAAAGGCCTTTTGACCCTCTAATGTCGGAATTGGCGAAACTACAAAAAATTCGTAAATGAAAGTTATTAGGAAGTGTAAGAGAAGAATGAACAAATGGGTGGTAGAACGTATGGTAGGAGGAATGGACACGGGACGGATATGCAATGCAATATTTATACATGAATAAATTGGAATAAAATTAGGACAAACTTACCATCAACTATGATTGTTGCCTCGCCTTCCTCTATGACTGCTAAAGGCAGAAAATGCAATTGTGGGTAGATTAACGAGTTATGACTCAAAAAGTTGCGTTTAAGAGTTGGGGAAATGAGATTTTAAGCGTACCTTTCTCCTCAGCAGCTTTTCTTTCAATTTCTTTCTCATCAGAACCTGGAAAAAAAATCATCCCTTATGAAAACAAACGGATCGCTTAAACCCTACGCGAAATTAATAAAATTCGCTTAAAAAGGAATCATTTTTCCCATAGTACTATATTTTTGTAACAAGCAATTTTTCGCATACCTTCATCATCACGCAACTTCTTTTCTTCTATTAGACCTGTAACAACCAATTTTTGGTAAAATTATGATGCCTCTTCTACTTTATAACATTAATGGACAAATCGGCTTTCTAAATATGATATTAAAATACTCTAATCATTCATCTTCTTGGCAAACTTAACCTCTTTTCAAATAAAATCTTTTCAAATTCAAATATTGCTACTAATTTGATTCAATAACCGATGGAGTCATTGCCAATTCCTTGCCTAAATCAACATTCGAAGATTCTCCCTGGCGGAAGAAATTTAAAACGCCAAAATAACCAACCTTGGGTTTCATTCCTCCGTTCACATCACTCACGTTAATTGTATTTGAGACTTATAATTAATGGGGTTTTAATCAGTAAAACTCGCAATTAAAAAAGCAGAAAGATAGAAGAAGGATAGATACTGGATGGATCTATGTGGAGTAACAGATGGATAAATACGAGGTGAATGGATAGAATCAGGGTATATTGATGGAAGTATAAACTCATGGGCACATACAAGATGGATGGAAACGGAATCGACCAAAAGGCATCATTTATGGATACATGAGGGTAAAAACGAACTATTTGGAACAAAATGAAGGCACACATACCATCTACTTGAGCATGAGCTTGTCCTCCATCTGCTTCCATGACGGCTGGAATTGGAAAAATGCAGGATTAATCAGGTTTACGAGTATATGTACATATATATAAGTGATCATTTTCATTTCTCGTGAGCATCAAACACACCTTCTTCATCGTCAAACTTTACTGAGATTGCTTCCGCAGCCGAGGCTGAAATTAATTGAATGTATGAAAGCAAACGGATCACTTAAGCTTCACTCCAAGTTAAACATATTTATTCAAAACAAATCCACTTTTCCATTATCCCAGTAACAGCAATTACCTCCGTATTTTTCGGCAAACATGTTTCCTAATCAGGAGAAAACTTTTATACATACCTTTCTCATCCTGCGATTTCTCCTCCTCTGTAGACTCTGAAATAAAATTTGTCATTAGCACAATGACACCACTTATACTTTTAAATTTTTTTCAAACATTGCGACTTCCTAAATGAGATATTGAATGCTAAGACCAAATATTTTTCCGACAAATATAATTTGTTTTTAAAAAAATCCCATCTCATACAAATATTGTCACTGCTAGCTTGCATTAAAAAATCGTTTCATTAACTGGAAATATAGAATGGATCATTTGGCTTCCAAAATGATATGAAAGTTTACTTTTCCAAGCAGACTTAGCAAACATGAAGGAAACGAATTTCTGTAGGGGGTGGTTTAATTTTTACCAAGTCGAATGTACCTTTGATCTGCTAATTTTAAAAAAAGCCATAAAGGAAGTTAAATTTTAACAATCAGGTTTTATATTGAAATTATTGCACCATCACAAGCAGATTGAAGTCACGCAAAGCGGAGTGCTGAAACCATGGTAATACAGGAAGATGATTTCTTGTAGATTTCACTGATGTCAAGCCAAACATCATGGAACCTGGCCAAGACCAGAATACAAGCACATAGGCATGATTGTTGGAATTGCAAAAATGTACGATAATAAGAGTCTTTCCAGCTCCGCAATTTAATCTTCAGTCTCATGGTTTGAAGGTATAGTAAAACCATGCACTGGTAGATCTTTAAGGAGAACTCGAATGCTGCAATAGTGATAACTCCGGTTCAAAGGAAGAAAAATCTTTTCTGTCACTGATTTTAAATAAGCAGAGAGTCGGCTGTGGATATCTGTTTCTGAGGAATTTCAAAACAGAAGGACTATTAAAACCATATTGAAATGATTAGTAAAGGTTCCCTCTCGAGCTTAAGGAGGCTGACCATTCCCCAGAGAGTGACTGATAGAGGAGGTATTTACATGCCGGAACCTCGAAAAACCAAACAAATAATGGGGCTTTAAGAAGTCGCTTTAGTTTAAGCACTTTATAGAATTTATTAAGACCCCTAAAGTGCATGACCCCATGAAAATCGCTTGAGCTATAAGGTTTTGAGGGTGACCATGGGTCCTCAAAATATCCAAGCTTGTAATGAGGGCAGTAATACTTCGGATAATATATTTGACAATTAAGGACAGGTCGGCAAAGGTAGCAAAAAGCAAAAAATGACATAAATGAATAAACTGCCGCAAATATTTTCACTCTAAAATCCGACATTCTTAGCAGCCATACCATAAGCTTGAAATGCACACTAATGCATTATTACGTACGAAGACAAAAATGGAGGAAAAACCTTTACACCTGTCCCAAGTATTTGTTTTTGAAAATAATGGTCACTGAATAAGGTGGTTGATGCGTGACAACAAAATTTGGAACTGAATATTCTGCAACTAGCAAACAAGCTAAGGCGATCTGTTTTGATTGTTTATCAATCAGAGTTGTGTTCCATGTCTAAAATTTTGTCGATGTTTTTAGCTAACCCTGGTTACTACTCTCGGTCAATTACGTCAACCTGTCTGACAATAAAGTGAGAAAAAACATTTTGGCAGAGGACGATAATCTTACTATTCAGGCACTTCTAGCTTGTTGGTACTTTATGACATTAAATTTTGCATTTTCCGTCAGGAAGTGTCAGTTAATTAGGGTAGCAAAATCTGCAAGTTAATGTTAAAACACTTGTCATCAGTCGTAAAACATCGACGAATTATTATTAACGGGTACTTATTGAAGACCCAAAAAATGAAATGAATAGTGATAAAGGCGGAAAGTCACGTGGGACTTCCAAGTGTTTCAAAATTTTCACAATATCTCGAACTGTGCACGGACATGAAGTATTTTAATCATGAAGTCGCAAATTTATTAATTTTACGAAATAAACTTCTTTAATTGAGTAAGTACGAGTACTGCGACAGAAAATAGGAAAAAATGGTTAAGTAAATAAATTTTCGTCATCAAAGTTTAAGTGATTATAATAGTGTGAGGATGCATTCAGTATAGGCGGATTAAAAATACGAAAAAATGCGAAGGCATTAAAAATAGTGGATTAAAAGGCTAAAGCGTGAGAGTATGTATAGATGGGTGAATTGAGGATGGATGCGGGATGCTTGAGGAGGGAATGAAAGGATATGGGGGGCATGAACACGGGACGGATGAATGAAGGTATGAATTCATGGGTGCACGCGGGGTGAAAGGAAATGGGACTTATGCGGAATGCATCGTTTGTGGATACCAAAGGTTAAATAAACGATTTGGGCATAGGATGAAGACAAACTCACCATCTATATGCACGAAGCCTTCTCCTCCCTCTGAAGTAGCTAAAATTGGAAGATGCAGGTGTATTTTTTTCCAGCATATGCACACGCACAAAAGTGAACACTTTTGTCTGCTAAGAGTATCAAGCATACCTTCCAAGACGGCAGCATCCCTTTCGGCTCCTTCCACATCAGAACCTGAAAGAAAATGTCCACATAAATACAAATGGAACACTTAGGCTTTACTCCGAAGTGGCTATATCTATCCAAAGTTGGAATCCCTTTCCCATTACCCCAGTAAGATCAGTTACCTCCGTACTTTTTGACTGACATATACGTACCTTCGTCTGCATGCGATTTCTGATCATCTTTGGGACCTGAGAAAATCAGAGTTTTTGTGAAAACAATGGTGCTGCTGCAATGGCTAACCCTAATGGACAAAGCAACTTCCTAAGTACAATATTATGATACAATGGTCATTTATTTTCTCGGCACACGTCACTCCCGTTCAAACGAATTTCCATCTAATACACATATTTTGCTATTTTTACTCCATAAACCGATGAGATCTTTGACATTTCCCTACCTGGAGCGCCGTCCGAGGTTTCTTCCAGGCTCTTGATCACATTTGTCTCGTCTAAAAGAAAAAAAGTAAGACCGCAAAATAACCAACTTTGCGATCCATTCTTTTGTCTACAATCCACGTGTTAATTGGCGTCTACTTCATCGTATTTATGACTCATAATTAATGCGTTTTAATTACATATGCTTGCACTTAAATAAGTGAAAAACGCAAGATGGATTGGTAACGGATGAATAAAGAAGGAATGAATGGGAGGTTGGATGCAGAATAAATAGAATAATGGAGAGAGATGGATGGAAGGATGGAGACCAGTGGACGAATGAACTAATGGCTGAGTGAAAATGGAATGAATGGATGGATACAGGAGGAATGTATGGATTAAGTGACACGGGATGGATGGTTAGATAAATGAATACATGGATGGATAGAAATTGGATGGAAGATGCAAGAAAACGAGATGGATGGATGAATGCAGAACGGAAGCGTGGATGAATGGATAGGTAGATGTGGCTGGGATGAGTGGATAGAAGGAAAAGGGGATATATACCTGTATGGAAATCAGATAAATGAACATGCATCTTGAGGTGAAGATGAAAAAAGGATAGGCAGGACAGGGATGGGAAGATAAATGCATATACATATGTACTTGGTGGATCAATATGGGATAGGTACGGAATGTATCAGTTATGGAAAACTAAGTTCAGGTAGAACCGATACAAGGCAGAATGAAGGCAAGCATACCGTTTGTTTGAGCATGAGCTCCTGCTTTATCCGCTTTCATGACCGCTAAAATAAGAAATTACAGGGTTAATAAGTTTTACGAGCATATATACACGCATAGATGTGAGTATTTTTGTCTGCCATTAGTATCAAATATACCTTCTTTGTCGGTAGCATTTCCCTCGATTACTTCCGCAGCTGAAACTGAAATTAATCGTCCGTAAGAAAGCAAACAATTCACTTAAGCTTCACTCTAAATTACTAATATTTATTTAACAACAAATCCCCTTTCCCATTACCCCAGTACCATTAGTTGCCTCCATATTTTTCGCCAAACAACTTCTTCTTATGAATCAAAGCCTATACGTACCTTCCTTGCCGGGCGTTTTCTTCTCCTCCGTGGGCTCTGAAACAATTGTTGGTGAAACAATAATATTGTTTCGACTTCTAAGTTTATAAGACCTAGCGGCTTAGCGACTTAGCGTTTTCTAGCCGGACGTAACTCCTTTTCACCCACATTTCTATCAAAGACAAATATTGCGACCAATTTACACCAACAACAGATGTAATCTTTGCTACTCCCTCACCTTGATTAACCATCGGGGATTCGTTTTCTTCCAAGTCCTCATTTGTCGTGCCTAAGAGAGGATAAGTAAAAAGATAAAATAGCATTCATATGAGCTTCTTCCTTCTTTCCTATCACATGACTAATGTCCATTGTCGTCCAACCAGCTTTCCATTTGCGACTCACAATTTACGCGTTTCTAATAATTAATACTTGCATTTTAAGTACTTTGAACAGACAGAAGTTTAGACTGAAACATTTGGCTTCTAAAATGATATGAAAATTAGACTCTCTACGTAGATTTGGCAAACATGAAGGTGGGAAGGAATCTGCGATGACTGAGCAGGTGATGTCTGATTTTGTTAAGGATTGCTTTTCTATCAAGTTAAATGTACGTATGATCTGCAATTTTTAAAGACAATTATTGCATACTCGCAAGCAGATTGAAGCCAAGCAAAACGAGGTATTAAAACCATAAAAATGTGGTAAGATAATTTTGTTGATCGTACCAATACCTATATCAACATTCGGGGATCCGTCCAAACGATAAAAATAGCACTCCGTTGATCTCTTATCCTCCTCTCACATCACTCCTGCCTATTGCGTCTACCTAGTTTCCTATTTGTGATTTGTCGATAATGCATTTTTGATTGTTAATGTTTGTCTTTTAAAAAGTCAAACGATACCAAACGGATGGATACCAGAATGGATGAGTGCATAGATGAATGGAAAATGAAAGAAAAGATGCATACGAAATCGACGCAGCGTTGGCCGGCTGGATTGAGAAATTAATGAATACACACGGAATGGAAGAAAACGGGATGCATACGGAGTGCATTAGTTGTGGATGCTTAAGAGTGGGCACGAACCATTTGGGTTAGAATGAAGTTAAACTTACCATTTACTTGTACATGGCCTTCCCCTACATCTGACATCGCTACAATTGAAAAATGCAAAAACGTGTGTTTACGGACATGTCTGCATACATAGAAGGCACCATTTATTTATCGTTTATCAAACATACCTAGTTTTCTTTTTACTTCGTCCGCAGCTTGACAAGAAAAATTTCAGCTTCATGAATATGAGAAAATCACCCAAGTCTTAGCCATAATTAATTACATTCATACATTTAACCTCCCTTTTTCATTACATCAGTAAGATTAGGTATCACGGTATTATTCGTCAAAATGGCTCTATTTTACGACTAAAATTTATGCTTACCTTCTTCACCATGCGGTTTCTTATCTTCTATAGAGCCTGGAAGAAAATCATATTACTTTGAAACAATGATGCCACTTCTCTCTCTAGACTTGTTAGACAGCGTAGCTTTCAAACTACGAAATTAAATGCAACAGTCAATTGTTATCTCGATTGAAGTAACTCCAGTTTGAAAGAAGTCACGTCAAATTCTGCCACTGCGGCCATTTAACAAAAACCAGTAGGGTCTGTGCCATTTCCTCACCGAAAAGATAATATGATGATTCATTTGTTTTCTTGTCTACATGTGTCTCGTCTGGAAGAGGAAAACAAGCTATAAAATACCATACTTTGTGTCCTATTCCTCCTCTAATTTCATTTGTGCTAAATGACTTCTACTTGATCGCTTTCACGGCTTACGATTAATGCAGTTTTATGTAGAAGTGAAAAGACACAAGATGGATAGACGAATAGATGGATGGAAAGATGAATGGATGGATGGGTACGGGACGGATGGACACTTGGACGAATTGATGCGAGATGGATTGACAAATAAATAATGAAATCATAGATAAAAATAGGATTTATACGGAATGGATAAGTTGTGGTTACGTATAGGCAAGCAGGTAAGAATTAAATTAGGATGAAAAACTTTTCCTTAATCTGAAATCGCCTATATTGAAAAAAAAAGTCTCCAAACATATGTACACACATAAGAGCAACTATTTCCATTTGTCAAGAGTATCAAACGTACCATCCCTGTCGGTAGCCTCTCCTTCGATCCCTTTAGCGGCAGAACCTGAAAGAAATTGTCCGTATAAATGCAACTGGACCACTTAGGCTTTACCCCCAAATTAACTATACTTTTCCAGCAATGGGATTCCTTTCCCATTACCCTAGCATCATAATTTGCCTCCGCACCTTTTGGCAGATACAGCTCCCTTTCAGGAATAAAATTTTACGCGTACCTTCCCCATTATACGATTTCTTCTCTTCTCTAGAACCTCGAAAAATTGATTTCCCTCAGAAACAATGGTGACACTTTCATTTTAAAACAAATTGGTCAACGCAAAATGCTCTGGTCAACGGTTTTCTAGGCACGTGTTACTCCTGTTGAAACGATAAACAAAAATTTCAAATCCTTACCTGGAATGTTGAATGAGGGTCCTTCCACTGTCCTTTTCCCATTCGTCACGACTGTAGGGGGAGAGTGAAACGATAAAATAGCCCTTCTTTAGGTTTTATTCTTTCCAAAACACGACTCGTGTCAAATGCCCTCAACTTATTTGTACTTACGACTCCCAATTAATGTATTTCTAATAGCCGAATGCTTGTATTTAAAGCAGCAAAATTACACAAGATAGATAGGTACTGGATGAGGACATGCATAGGTTGGTGGTAGGGGAATGAATGGACGAATGAAACCCTGGATAAGGGATGGATGGAGGGAGGGGTGAGAAGGTGGGCGGATACGGTTTGGATAATAGGTGGATGTTTCGAAAAGTTTCTAAATAGACTTCTAATCTACTCTAACAGGAGCTCCTCCTGGGTCTCTTATTTCCAAAATCGTAAGACCATAGCTGTGACTATTCTCGTGATCCTAAATAAATGTATGGTAAAGGTGATTCTTTAGCAACAAATAGGAAGAATTGTGTTTACAAATTACGACATTTAAGTAAAAAAGTGCGCCTTCCTCTCCATACCATGGGAAAATGCAGTAAACTCATACCTTAGGTTAAATGAGTGCCAAGTTGATGATTTTGATTAGGAAAATTGCAGAATGATTAATTTTTGACCTGACAGATACAGGGCTTGTGATAGGTCTAATCGCACTTTGATAATTAGTACAGCCTCTTAAACCCTAGAAACACTACACTAATCCAAAACGCTCCGCTAAGAGTTAATCCCGAAATTACAGTCTTTCTTCAACTGTAGCCAAATTTTATTTGTTTTGTTTTTGATAAAGACGTAATATTAGGCTTGAACAAAAATGATTCGCTGTTATAAGCCACAAAATATATACATTGAAACGGCTTTCCTCTATGTCAGTAATGATACACAAAGTAGAACTAAACATCTGCATTAAATTCTTTCGTTGTTTTGAAAAAGGAGAGGAAAAAAAATTAAGACAAATGGGAAGTGACTAGCTGAATTTGAGGGATTGGCACAAAGCATGAATGAAGTCGACAACTAGGTACCGTGGGAATGACCTCGTAGTGTCATCCCGTCCTCAATAGCCTTGAAATGTCTATATAACGACGTGGTAGGCTGAACTTGAGCATAAAATTTACTCATGGGGGAAATGAATGAGTGATGGATTTATTAAACAAAAAAGGGAAAGTGAGATAATAAAGCGAGCATATTGTTGAGCCAGTAGTAAAAGTGGAAGAGGCTTGGAAAGGACGACTACCAGAATAAACTAATGAGGAATGGATGAGCGGTTTGCAAAAAATGAGCTTTATCAACATTAGTCTTATAATCGGAATCACCGCAAGAAAAATCCTGCACTTTCCTTACCACCAAGCGGTTCATTCCCCTGCGGTAGCTTAGCTTCTTCTGAAGTTTCTGTTGAAATAGAAGGAAAAGGGAGATGTTTGATATTTCATTGCAAAACAAAAGGACCACAGAATACTCATCTCCCGTTTTACTTAAAATCGGCTGTTTACACCTTACGATGCCAGCAATCATTTAAACTAACCATTGGTGATGACCGTCGTTTCTGCATCTAAAAGTGTAAAAAAATACACAATGCAAATGATTCCAAGAAGAATGGAATACTGCTGGCACCTTAACAATTTGTAGGTAAGGAAAAAATATGCCTCAGGAGGGGACAGAGAACATTCTTCGATTGTGTTTAAGAGGAATTAACTGATAAATGAGTGGTTACATAGTCTGGTGAACAGGGTGGCAGTCGTAGAGTGCTATGCGTCTGACAGGTTAACTGATACATATCAGACCGATTAGGCCTCTCAGTGAAATGATTTACAATGCGGATATTAAAAGGGATTAACAGACGTAGTTAGATAACGACGAACAGACTATATCCTGAGATAGGATTAACTAAGCGCTAAAAAGGGGATGAGTAAAGAGAACAATAAAATCGGAAGAATCGAGGTATTACTGGCATAGATGTGCGAGTATGTAGGCCAAGACTGGATTAGGGGACGACGGCGTAAAAAAGGTGATCAGGTAAATAGCAACCTTCAAATGGTTGCTATTGCATTAACTATAAGTCGAGGTTGCCACTTTTTCGCAACATTTCAACACTCAATTCTTATGTTCACTAATCCACAAATTTACCTGACACAAAAAACGAAATGCAATTGAATGAAATCTATAGCAAAGTTTCATAACAGCAATAACTGACTGTTTCATTGCTAAGTCTTTGCAGTAAAAATGTTTTTTGTCCAAAAGCTCTTACTATCAAAACTATTTGCATTTAGCTTTGTTGAATGCCAGATGTATTTGCTAAGACAATGCTGCCGACTGCGAAATAAACAATACAAACATGCGCAATTCAGGCAAAAAATATGTTTAAATGTACTTTTGGAGATGCAAATTCCTGGTTAGAGGCGGTGTCGTTTTTAGGATGACAAATTAGTAAAGAATTTGATTTGTTAACTCCAAATGATAAATTACTTTTCCATTTTTGGTGTTATAACGTGATGTAATTAACCTCGTGGACGTAGAAAGCAAATTACGAGAGTTCGACTGAACTAACCCGAAAATACAATCACCCAAGTAACAAAAATGACAGATTTTCCTATAAATAAGTCGTATTAAGTTATTGATATAAAAATTGTTTCAATTAAGTGTCTTGAAACGTGTTAAAATGGATTCAGACGTATTTTTGGGCTTATTGTACAAATGGATCAAGAATTTTTTTGCAACACCTAACAAAACACCAGCCTAATTCACCTCCGACTTAAAGTAGCTCAAAACTGCCACTGCATTATCAAGAGGGATTCAGTGTTGGTTACCAAATTATCACTTACTCGTAAAAGCGCATCCAAAGAGGGCGAAAATGAGTAGGAAAATCAACCGAGAAGGCGAGCGCATTTCGACAGTGTGTGTTGTCCAAAAAGTAATTTCATAAGACTAACCGAACCGCTCAACCAATCAGAGCCTCGGCAATTGTGCCAATGGAGATGAGATATTTGAACACGCATCACCATGTAGATTTTATCGATTTTTTGCCATGAAAAGACCTTGAGGTTGCATTGGGATTTGTTGATTGGTTCATCCACTCCGATGCGTGGTATGAGGCGGCGGATGTAAACGTAGGTGCCAGTATTTGTTCTTCTCTTAGATCGTCCATTTTTTTGTCTACAAGGCGACACCGCCAAAAGTCAAACCAGTCATGGAGGGCTTAAACGACTGAGTATAGCAAAAGGTACTTTTTGCAGCTGTAGAACATTCGGAGTGAATCTTTTTTCCTCACAACTTACGACAAGGACGATTTGATCATATTTGGTCATATTCTACCAGCATTTGCTTTAATTAAGGGCCAAAGTTTTCTCAGTTCCAAGAAGGTGATTTTTTGTTAAAGGAAGGCTCCTAAAATAACTTTTTTGCCGTTTTTTGTTTGGGTCGGAACTGAGAGGTTTAAACAACAAAGTACAAAGGTTGAAGCAACAAATAAAAGGTCATACTTTATTAGAGGAATATGGACTTATAAATTATGCAGCTGTTCGGTAGTCTCTGTCGTGATTTTAGTGATTTTGCCATTTCTAAAGGAGATCAAAGAAGGAGTGGTGTCACACTACGTATGAGATATTAGAAAACGTGTTTCAAATACGTCAGAATACGTAGTAGGAATTGAATTAATGTCATTTGATGTTTAGGATAAATAACCGCACTTTTCCATGGGTATTTATACACTTCAGGCTACCTAAATAATTAAATTTCCGTTGAAATAGAAAAGTGTGCAACAACTCTAAGAGGTTTTAAATCGCCTCTCCAACAAATATGAAAATAATCTTTTCTTTACTGACAACAATGATGCTGTAATTAGGCTCGATTCACATTTAGCTGGTTCAGTAGACCGCTACTCGGTGTACAAAATCGATTAATCAATTTGATTTATCGATGAGTCATCCATTGACTGAACAGCGATGGGAACAACTCGCCGCGGATGAGTCATCAGACGGCATAATTCATTTGTAGTCGTCGATTTTTGTTAGTAGGCCCTGGATATCGTCTTTAATTAACACTGAGCGAGTGAGAGGGAGAACAATTGCGCTTCCCTCGAATGTGTGATGGTAGTCTAATTGACGTGTCACCTTTACAGGCGGAGGAAATACTGACAAGGTATACATTTTCTCATCAAATAAATGGAAGTAAAATTGTGTCTCTAACTAATTACACAACTTAGGAATTACGGAACAATCAGTAGAAAATTCTGTTATTGGAAGTCACGTCCCAGCAGTAGTGAAAAAATGTCATTAAAATGATTTCGCAAGATTTGGCATTTATGAAGTATTCACTTATAAACATTTGCGTAAATCGGGGCAAAACAAATAGACAAATATGAAAATGTGAACCATTACCAAAATAATCTACATATTTGTTAAAAAATGTTCACTTCTGAAATACAATTAGGTTGTATTCTGGTTTTCTCAGTTGCCAGGGCGAAAAATGTCACCTAGGGCAAGATTTAGGGGTCTAAAAGGAAAAGCGTTGCAGCGTCAGAGTGTAATTGTTTATTTAACTCTCGGTTTTGGTAATAAGCCGCCTTGAGGCTCCGACATTGTAACTGTGTTGGGTGGTCAGGCCGCAGGTTCATCTCATTATCCCTCAAGCCCTTCAGTATGTTGGCAATACATATTCTGCCAAAGTGTTATGCTTTCTTTCGTCGTTAAGGAAGTCTTGAGGCGCTCCGTTGGTGGAGGTGGAACGCGAACCCCCCTCCCCAAATTTACACTGTTGGGTGACAAACCTTAGCGTGATGGAAGAAGGAACATATGCTGCTGGTGGGAGAATCGGGGTTTGAAAATGATGTCTGCCTTCGACAACTACTCTTCGTCTCCAAGACAGCCATTAATAAATGAAACGGCACTAGCTGTGAACCATCTGGAAAGGTTCGCTACGAGCTATCTACGGCATCTGTGTGAAGATGTCAATGAATTGAGCACACAATTTTCCCCTAAATCCCTTTGGGGCCAGTTATTCTACGACTAGCGACGGATACACGAGATTACCAGCACTTTCTCCCTTCACCCAACACGGTTCCAACACAGGATGAAATTCCGGATCAAGTAGAGCTGCCAGTAGGATGACTGGCATAGTTGGCTCGTAGATGACATTCTCACAGCGTGGACTCAGTAAGTTGACCTTGGGGAGCGCCGAGGGCGATGCATAAAAGAGGAGAGTGACTATTGTAATACTGTGATAGTTTAATTCTTCGTGTTGGTTTTGGGGGCACTTAGTGCTCTGCCATTGTACCTCCGTCTGGCGGACTGGCCTGCAGGCCAAGCAAGCATTCCCCATTCCTACCGTACGGTGACAATACCTTCCTTCATCAGGGTAGACTTGGAGCGCTTAAAAAGTAGAGTAGAAGAACGGAGGCATTGAGCGGCTACTGAAAATTCACCTTTCTAACTCATAGAAAATAATGCTTCAGCTTGTCATTGCCCTGCAAAATTTGAGGAGAATAGGGGTCTGACAGACGATTTGGGTCGTAAAAGTGACACCCAAGTGATGAACAACAAGGGTACAATGAAAGCAATTGTTGGGATGAGGGAAGGCAATTTTTAGTGGCTAGGCCCAGAGGTGCCTTTCTTAACTTAAGTAAGACATGCAAATAAAGCCTTTTCACCTACTTCTGTAAAATTGCCGTTAAACGCTTTTTTTATCCATCGACGATTCAAGGGATCATTAAGGGAAAGAATGCCGGGTGTAATTTTGGTTCTCTCTGGCAGTAAAAAGAGACTACTGCTGCAGCTCCTTGATGTTGTTTAAACCGTGTAATGCAGTAACAAATGTTTAAAAGACAGGTTAAATATTCTTAAAAGACAATTGAAAGTATCTTTTATTCAATGTGAAGAATGTAGCGATTCGCGTACGAGGTGTCGCCACCTCCTCGAGATATATTATGTTGACGCGTATCTCGGGGGCCAGACGTAAAGAAAGAATGTTTCTCTGAGAAATAATGAGTGTTTCAAATGTCATACTCATTACACATAAATAAAATTTGGCTACCCATGTACCTGCAGCGCTCAGAGACTTCCCTGAGGACAAAGAAAGTCATACGTGTGGAAGGGCTGTGAGCAACAGGCATGGTCAGGCGGGTAGGCCGCCTAACAGAAGAACATCGTCAGAGCCTTAAGTCAGGATAAAGAGTTAAACAAACGGTAAAAGTATTATACAGTGCCCCTCCTCCTTTGGGCATGGTCCTCGGTCCTCCTCCAAAGTCAACCTTCCGCGTCAGCCATCACTCGGTAGGACACCCACAAGCCATCCGTGCCTGTCAATAAATTTGCTTCCACTTAAGGTGTAGCCCGACCGCACTTTCACTGATTTTCTCTTGGTTATTCTACTGGATCTGCAGTTTTGTTTCTTATGGAAACTGGATTAGGGGGACGGGGGAGTGGGTTGAACAACAGGCGCTTCCACCGCTAGTCGTAGGGTTACTAACCTCAAAGCACAGTCAAGTAACAAAGGACGGGCTTTAACGCAGCACCTTAGGAATAAGAATTGGCGTCTGTTTTCGGAGCACGATTTCGTCAATCAAAACGTCAGTTCGAGAACACTATAAGCAACACCTTGGGGTACTCCTTAGCCCATCTAATTAGGCGCGACAATCGCTGGAAATTTTGCAAAAGCCGCATATCAGGAATGAATATTTTCGTTGAACAAAAGGCATGATAACATCTTTTGGCAACTAGGAGAGGTTTTGCACCTCGCGTCCATTCTATGCGATGACCGATCTGACCTTCTTATATACGTTGGGTAGGATACTGTTGAAGTTCCTATCGGAGTGATCGAATGACAGACTTCCGGCTCCGGAGCGTACGTACGGAGCTGCTGACTGACTGCTGATGCCATGGGGTGGTTCCGTTTCTGCGATTGCCCTACCCTTGCCCTATTTGAAGTCTATCCATGCCTGATGTTCACCAATCAAGGAAAGTGAACTAGAGCACGAGTTTCGAGGCGGCCTAGAATGGTCGCAACTTGAGCACGAAAAAGGCGACCTCGAGCCAAGTAGCAGCGCTAAACACTAATGTTAATGCTCCATTTCAAAGACGTTCAAATCAAAACGGTACTTTTTTATAGGCATAATTTGCGTGAAACTGTGGCGTTACTACATACAGGCGGGTGTCGTTCTTCCTTTAACACACATTCGGCTTGTTTGTCTTGAATAAACCAATTCCAGGCGTTCTTGGTAGTGCGTGCATGCAGTAGCATTATTGTCAGCAAATCTGTGGAGTCCTCCATGAGGCGGCCTTCGAAGAGATGGTATAAAGCATCGCAAGAGGGTAGCTCCCTCCACATAATGAAATTACCCTTTTAAGACTACAACTATTTTCCACACTTTTATTGCAACCATCAGAGAAAGCCAGTTAATTTGGGGAAGGTAAAACAGCAATTTGTCTTCTTTATGGATGACTGCGTCGCCGTCAATCTGTTGGAGTTCTTCACAGATTCTTCCATCTGCGGAATTGGCACTTCTTTTGGCATGCTAAGGTTTACCATTCAGTAATATAAATTAGTAAGTTGTCCTTTAAGATAGGGTTCCATTTTACTTGTCTGGGCCCCGAGACTTCCCTGAAGGCAATAGACACTCTACTAGGGCAGAAAAGGTATTGCCGACGTATGGAAGAGACGGGGGTGGGGAGGGAGAGCTACTGATATGGCACAGAGGCCAGTCCATCTGGCAGAGGTACAATGGTGAAGCCATTAGGTGGTTCATCACCAAAACTGAGAAAGTAATACTTTCATCTGCTCAAAATCGCATTCCAGCAATACATTTTCCTTTTCCCCTCATCGAGTGTCTGCCTTCATCACCACCGTTTCTAAAACAAGGCCAGAAAATGCATTTTTCTACTGTCGTATCCATCCTTCAAGGGCAGACAGGGTAGCCAGCCAGAATGACAGTAGTGGCTAGAGCTGTCGCTGGACTTCCTCCCAGCCTCCTCCACCCCAGTGTGTACTGCCAGACCCCAATATCAACTACAACGCCACCGAGGCTGGTGATTTCCCATCTAAACCTGATTAAAAGCATTACTGGTCCTACCACAAATACCCACCTAACCGCAACGATGGCCATTCACACCTGTGGTCAACAGCTTCTAGCCCTTGGCTTTAGCCTAGACGACAACTCCCTTGATCGTAAACATCCAACACTCCACTATGACCATCCATTTTTAGTGACCTTTTGGCTTTTTCGTCATGCGTGCATGTTGGTAATTCTACTTGGAATAACTCAAATGGCTCTAACACTTAGCAGTAAGTTCCAGCACTTCTTGCATAGTCTCCCAATTTCAACTGCCCAACCGGGCAGGAGGGCAAAGGACGCTTGTCACCAAGAGTTTTAGCATGACTTCGACTACTTACCTGCATGGCGTTCAAGAGGAGGACGGATGACTAAATATCCTCCCGAGGCTGTGGATCTCTCAGTGCTGAGGCGGTTGCTGTTAAGTACCTCTTTTTTCCACCTCCATGAATGCTACTCTTTCCTAAATGGAAAATCTCTGTCTTTTTTAGTTTTAGGTTAATCTGACACAACAATCCACTTTCTGCGACTGAAAACAACATTACCGGAATGGTCATTATAACCCCTGTGCAACGCCTTGCAGACATTTCGACCGGTCAACGATTAAGTAGCATGAGACTTGACGTTAGTTACTGCCTTCACTGATCACATTTTAGTAGCTGATGAGGGTATAACAGGACAGTTGCAGTATCTAGGCGTTGTCCACAACCAACCTTTTACCACCACCACCGTTTATACCCAAGGCTTGTCAACTTCTGCCCAGGGGTCCCTTACATAAAGACACTCGACATTTGATGAGCAATGGTGGTGAAACTTCTCAGTGATCACCTCAACGTGGTCGACACGCTTCTTCATTGATCCTTCAACAAAATTATCCCCTTGTGACAAATGCCTCTCAGAAGGCTTTAGGTACTGGACTGTTACAGTTACTGAGTTTACTTTGTTATAACGATGTAAGTGCGACTACTTACCATTGTACCTAAAATCCCCTCCTTAGTGAAGAATGATAGCCACTTTCTCCCTACCGATGAAGTATTCACTGGGGTTTCTACCTCCACTCTCTGTTTCAAACATTACATACCATGAATAATCTATCAGCTCTCCGCGAACCTAACCCACCCTCACAAATTCATTCGGGCATATTTTATTCTAATATGTGTTTACGTACACCCTACAATTGCTAGAGTGGAACAAAAATTATGCTGTCAGTTAGCTTAAAGGAACGACAAATATTGCCATCATCGAAAATGTAAGGGCGCTTTTGTTGAGGGTCCCTTCTTTAACTCATACCATTAGCAAGCTTAGAAGGCCCCATTAAAAGCTCACACGGACACGCATCCCTTTTGAGTGAGACGGTGTGCCCCAACCCGGCCCAACTTCACCGCATACATGTGTTGGACGGCTCACAGTCTCTAAACCTATCGTAGATTGCAAACCAAAGTTTGAATTTTCTTCAAGTGCTTTCCCAAAGGTAAAAGGATATAGCCAGGCGAAAAGATGCGTGTTGCTTGTTAATTCCCGATGTTTACCACATCAACCCTGGCACATGCCTTCTTGTTTTGCATGAGCAAACAAGCCTATGTGAAGGGTAGCACATCTGTCTCCTATTCGCACTACTTCTTATAGTCGTGGCAATTAACACCATTATTTTCTTTGCTTTCTCCAGACCGTTGGATTTTAATGGTCGCTAGGCAGCGGAAAAATCTAGGGACTCAGTACAGTTAACTGATCCCGAATATCTGTTTCTAGTCTAATTTACATACGAAATGACTAGACTTAAAATTACTTACACAAACTATTTGCTAATAAATGCTAACTACGTTAATGCTTGTTAGATTGAGCAGTATTCCACGTCATTTTCCTGGAAGAACTGATGAAGTTATCGTTTATGGCCCCGAACCCGACAAAAAATTTGTAGAGCCCTATTAAGTAGACACTTTTTGAATTGTTTTGAAATATCTTGTGGAGCGCTTATTACTAATCAGCATATAAGTTTGTTCTAATGCGCTGGGCTTTCGGTTGTCCGTCTTTGTTAAGGGTACTTACATTATGAAGCGTGACGGTCGCGAGTTTGATAACGAAGTTCCTCCGAAAAAGGTGCAAAGGGGGGATGTTTCGAATATAGCAGTAAGGTTTTTGATACCAGCTCGTGCTGCCGGCCTAATTATCGGCAAGGGAGGTGAAAACATAAAGAGGATTCGGAACCAGGTTACTATCTCTTCCGCTTGCTATTCATAAAGTTTTTTTTGAAGTTCTACTCCGCTCTAGGTTGCTACTGGTTTCTAACATATGTTATTATTTTCGTTCCTTTTACGCTTCCACGTTATCCATGACGTCACGACCTCGCATATCCTTGAAAACACGCAAATTTCTGGCCTCGAACTCCACGTCTAATGAACATGTTTACGTTTACCCTTGGTTTGCTTATTGCGTCTCACTAACGCACCACTAAACTCTTGGGTAACGTCGACTCGGCGATTTTTTTCACTGTTTGCAGTTCTCAGTGAGACTGAATATTCCCGACACGAGGGGCATTGAACGGTAGGACACGGACTGGATGTCGTTTTATTCTCTCCTCATTTTCCCTCCTTTTTGTTATCAGATCGCTTTTAGCAGCTGCCTAGCTCCACCAAAATTAACCTGCATGCTCTCTAGGACGGTTTCCAAACGTACCTGGCTATAGAAAATACGAAATAGAAATACTGCAAAGGCAGCTGCGGCTTTAGACATCTCTCTCTCTCTCCTTGTCTTTCCTTTTACGCTTGTCTTGTCGTTGAGGTGTGCTATTTTCCTTTGCTTCTTTGAATAGTGTTTTCACGATTGAAGGCGCGTTGGGTGATATTTGCAACGTATGGAGAGATATAATGCCGAAGCTGAAGGTGAGTGTTGCGCTCTCTCTTTGCTCTAAGATCCCTCTCTTCGTAGGATGTCATGAGTGCAAAACTTTCCGACCCCAAGGTGATAATGGGTCAGCAGCGTTTCCCTCGTCGAAGACAGCAGCGAAATCAAGGTGAAGGTGATCAGCCAGAGAATGAAGATGCGGAGGAGGAGGAGAAGATGGTGGATTTGAGGCTACTGGTGCATCAGAGCATCGCCGGATGCATTATTGGCAAGGGTGGCGAGAGGATACGCGAATTGAGGCAGAAATACCAGATGCGGGTGATTAAGGTGTATCAAATGCTCGCACCCTGTTCCACCGATCGTGTCGTTCAGTTGATTGCGGAACCGGAAAATGCGGTCCAGTGTATGGAGGCGATTGTGGAAGTTGCTGAGGTACGCTTCCCCATCGCTAAAGCTTTTTTGAAGGCTCGGATAGCGGGCTTTTAATCTGGTAGACTGAGTGTTCTCCTTTGGGTGAATTCCTGTATTGATCCTAATGGCGGTTGCCCAGTCTTCTTGGGTTAATACTCGGTTTCCAATGCATTAGGTCTGAAATCCGTGAACAGTTGGTTTTAGGGCCCTGAGACTATTGGCGTAATGAGCGAACAACTTGGTCTCGTGACTTTTTATTCGATCCGAGTAAGCGCCAGCGCTTGGCAGATGCTGTTGACGCTTTCTGCTACTTTTTTTCTGGCTTGACTTTCTCAAGGCCTTTCAGATACATCCGTACCACACGCTAGGGAGGAATAATGTCGTGAACTTTATTTTTCGGTGAAATGGAATTGGTATTCTGATACTCATTGGGGGAATGAGTTTCTATGCTCTCTAGAAGCGGAATGGATTTGAATTACGTCCTCTTTTAGGTCGTCTGACACTTCATGCTTTTGTCTGTTTTGGTAGTCTGATATTCGACTAGACAGGTTGTTACCACGCCATATTGTCTTGCGCCAGAAATGCTATTTTAGCTTAGGAATAGGTTTGGGTCGTTTAACCATTGCAGAAGTCCTTCGCTAATTAGGGCGTAATTAAATTCCATATGCGTCTCTTTCGGAGTGATGGTGTAATACGGCCTGTGTGGTAATGGTTACCTTAATACGGTATCGTACTCTTTAGTGCTTGCAGCTTCCATAGTTTTGAATGAGCGGGGCCAAGGCTTTGTCGCGGGAGACCAACTTTATTGTGCTCTTTTTAAGACTTTAGGCGAGGCGGTTCGATTTCTGCGGTTCCTAGTCGTTGAATGGTTTAAAGTGGATTTGTCTCTAAACCCGCTCCAGACTGCCTTCGATCCTGCCTACGCGTCATTGTACGTGCTACCCTCGACATCCCTAGTTATTGTAGTCGCAGACGGCGGCGCTGTGGCTTCACCTAGTTGGAGGGTGAATGACGGTGGGAAATATGCATTGCCGAGACTGTTTGCGGTTTCGGTTAGAGGCCACACATTACCCAGGTTTTATCGCGATTCTTATTTAAGTATATTCGGGAAGTTGGCGTGAGCTGAGTAATTTCCAGCAATGTGCATGTTTTGTGTACCATTTGCATTTTGCACTGTCACAGCTAACCCTTGAGTGTATTTGGCTAGCACAGAGCACTCTCTAGGCATCCCCGTCGCAGATGTATCTGCTATTATTACGCTCCGTCCTGCAACCTTGGAAGGTACCGTACCTTAAAATTGGATTTTGAGCTTAATGGTAACCGGTTACCTTCTTATTCAAGTCTCTGTTATCTGCCATAGCGCAATCGTTGTAGAATCTAGATGTGAATGCTTTTGTAGACCTAGATTTTTGACGCAGTTTAGTGTTGTAAGCGTCCGTCTAGTGGAAATTCGCGCAATCGTACTATAACAAATCAATAATAATGACATGATAGTGAATCCCAAAGGAATTAAATAAAGTAGGAACGTTTTTGCCTTGCTTAATTTTCACAACCTCGTTTCAGCAGTCTAAATATCAGACTTGTAGTCCGCTTTATGCTTCGCTGTCATCTAGTTCATTGAAACCGCCATCTCCCCGGGTGAAAACAAGTTTGCTGGGTTTAGTTGCCTTATAGCATGGCTAGGACTATAGACCTCCAGTAAAACCTGGGCACTTTCTCACTTTCCGATTCAAGCCTCTCCTATCTTGACTGGTAAATTTCGATTTTAAGGTCCAGTTTCACCAATAGGTGCCCTTCTGTGTTGGACGGTACGATTGATCCCTGGCAGATGCCATAGAATGCTCAGATTTTGTTCTGTTATTGACTGCACTTAAGTTGTGCTGTGTTAGGTAAGCTTGAGTAAAGGGTTTAGTGGGAATCCGGTGAGAAAAAAAAACGCTTATTTCCCTTCAGAATACTACAATTCGCGGACCTACCGAGCCCTACGATGCGTCAAACTGTAGTGAGGCGGACGCGCTGACTTACGGAGGGTGGCTGTCTCCAGAGGGTCTTCAAGCCCTCTCTCAGGGCATGCCGATAGGCTCTGGGGGAGGTGGCGGTGGTCGGCGGGCCTGGGCCCATGGTGGGTCCAGGCGGTGGGGGGGGGTAATCGATACGGTGGCGGACCACCAAGAGGTGGTGTTCCTCCCCCTCATCCTCCACCACCGCCGGCTATGTATCTTGGACGCCAGCAACAATCACAGCAACAGCAACAAATGCAGCAGCGCGGTGTCGGCGGTCCACCAATATACCAACAGCCTCCACCACCACCACCGTCGCAGTTTGCACCTCGTGGTCTTCCGCCCAGACAGCAACAATGGGGTTATCCTGATGGCTATGGTGATGCTACCTCTGCTGTTGGTAGTGGTGGTTACCCTGGCTATCCCCCTCCTCCCCCTCCACAGCAGCAGCCACAACAGCAACAAGCACCGCCTATGCCGGTGGCTCCACCGATTCAGCAATCTACGGTGCTCGGCGCTGGTGGCGTGGGTGTCGGTGGTTACGACAATGCTGGGCTTTATGCGCAGCCTCCGCAGAGTACGGGATATAATGTGCCGCCGCCCCAGGTTCCTGCTGGGTAAGTGGAGAGTGGGTATTGTTTTGACAATTGGCGATAGAAAGAGCGCTGAGGTTACTCTCGGAAACAATGAGAAGCGCTCAGGAGTTGCCAGTGCGACTGATGTTCCTAGAATTGGGAATGAGGTAAAGAGGTTGCCTTCAGAACGACGCGAATTTTCGGGTAAAGACATCCTAAAATGTCGCTTATGATAGCGCACGGTGAGCAAGTGGTGCTTGACCCACCACCGGAGGCAATGGTGACTCGAGAGGTGGCTTAAGGGTTAAGAGCACTTCCCGTATGGAGAGAATTTCACTAGAGTAGTGCGGAAAGGTTGCGCTACGATGACGTATTTTTCTTCATTTGTCAGTTTTGCACATAGATAGCGATGGTCATCTAGTGCTTGATGCTGACAAGCGCGGAAGCAGATTTCCTGATTTACACCTTAATGTTCTGATGAAATGGGGAAATTTAGGCTTCCTCGATTTTGATACAAATTGGTGTTCATGCTACTTTGGGGGTAGGGGAGGGGGCACCTCAGGTTTCTTGCATTGGCTGCCTCACCTCGCAATTGAAACCACTGTGAGAGGATTTTTTACATCATTGCGTGCCAATTAACCATGCCCACATCAACTACTGTCAATTCTTTAGTGTACAAAATAAAGATGTGCTTTGCTGGATTGGCACACGTTCATCCTATTTGTGGTGAATCCATGACAGTTTTTTAAACTGGGGAACGCTTCATCCGAATCATTTCGCTGAGTTTTCCTCTCTGATGGTGTTTTATGCCGGGGCAGAATGTACCAGCCTATCAGAATCCATTGTTGATATGGTCACCGCTACTGTTGTCGGACATCGTCTAGGGTCTGGTCATGGACAGTTCCAACGCACTAATTTAGCTTTCTCGTGATTTTCTTCGTAAATCAGTTTTCAGGGTTTGCTAAGCGTTTTTGTCCTTATGAGACGTCCTGCTTCCAAGGGCCCTGCCCTCTGTACGAACTTTTTTTGCCGCATTGCCAGTCGTTTTAAGCTTTCACGTTTCCACACTTTTACGAAATTCATTGCTCTTGAGTACGGCAAGATTTTCACCATAATTCTTTTTTAATTCCCTGGGAATCCGTCTTACTTCCTTACTCCCCATTCACAATTTGATGCAGTCAGAATTCCCGGTTTGGCTTGGTTTGCATTTAGTCACCTCCGTTGTTAATTCGTCGTTACGCACCGAGCCACCTGTGAGGACATAGTAGGGGAATCAGGCATGAGCGGAAGGCTTGTCTTTTAAGTACAGAATGACGGACAGGGTTTGACAACAAAACAGGGGTCGGGCTTGCTGGGAATGTATAGGAGCTCATGCGGTTTTTATATGCCTGGAGCGCCTGGCGTCTCTGCGTGCGCACGCTACTTGACGTAAGTTGCTGTCACTTTTCGTTCCCTACCATTGGGGAACACTAGGATACCAGGAGGCTATCAACCAAAACTGCTTTGCTCTTTTCAAATTCTGTCATTTTGCTTTCACTTCCCGGTCTAGCTGCGTGTTCCTTGACGCTCTGTACGGCTGGCATATGTACATATCTGGGGGAGAAAGTCCTCGCTTTTCCATCCATTCTTAATCTTCCCCCTTTTCTATTACTACAGAGCTCCGCCTGCAGCGGCAGCAGCGATGTACAGGATGAATGCACCCCTGAACAACCCCGCAGCAGCGGCTGCCGCGGCCGCGGCGGTAGCAGCAGCTGCTGCGGCAGCCACGGGAGGTGGCGGTGGTGGTGGTGTTGGTGGAGCACCAATGTACGGAGGCCTCGCTCCTCCCACCGTTCCCGGCGGTGGTGGTGGTGGTGGCCCACCTCAGCCACCAGCGCCGGTCCCACAGCCCTCTCCGTACGGTTACGCGATGGGTGCAGCGGCGGCATCGGGGCTGCCAGCGCCGAATGTTCCGCCCCCAACCGCTGCCACTGCCGCTGGGTATCCACCTGGCGGAGCTTGGTAGTGTAATGCGTGCTATCAAGGGCAACAAATATTGTCTGTCAATAAATCCAATTTTAATGTTTTTTTTTCTAACTTTAGTGTGTGCTCTTTTTATCGGAACAGGACGGGAGTGGGCTTTAGATCTCGTACGGGCTCGCCATTGGTGTGCGTGCGTTTGCCGCTTTTTTACCCACTCTCCTCGTCTTCGTTATGGTTTGTTGATGCCGGATTCTGGTTGAGGCGGTAAAAGCTGTCCTCGTGGGTTGTCTTTATCGACGCACCGGCCTTGGGTTCGTTTTCTACCTGGTTGGCCCATGCGTGGTGGGGACTAGTGTCCTCCAGGGTGGGTCCCCTCGGTGGGTTTGTTCGTCATCGCGCTTCTCTCGTGGGGTATGTGGCTTCACCAGTCGGCGTTTGTGGCTGTCAGCTTTGGTGGCTTAGTTGTGACCCAGCTTGTGGTGGAGATTGGCTTGAGGCCGCTTCGGGGTGATGATCCATGGGGTGCTGGCCTCGGTTTCCTGTATGTCAGGCGTGCCACGCGTCATCATACTGTTGCCTGGCCTGCAAATTTCTGAGGTGGATGGTGATGTGTTGCAAACCGTTTTTAATTGGGCACGGGTGTTTTTCGCTCCGAAATTAAGGCTGTGACAGCTTTACCGGTTTTCACAGGTATGGTGTCAAAACAAATTGCAATCCATTGAGGTCGCTTTGTTCTCACTTCCAGCGGATCTTATTTTAATTTGGCGTGGCTGAGTGTTATTCGATCCCAATATCCTCCGGACTTTGTTTTGTATGATTGAAATATTTAGTTAAAAAGGTGGAGTCAGCGCGATCTGAGGATCCAGATAGCCTAATTAGCATTCGAATGGATAACAAGCCCAAGTCCCCCATTTTTAACCAATTTATTACTGCGGTGTCCCGAGACTTCCTGAAGACGAAATAAGACAATACTCGGGCAGAAGGTGTCTGGGCTATTGGCATGGCCCGAAAGGCTGGCCCACTCAGCGAGGTACAAGAGGGCTAATTCAAAGTGCAAAAGTGGCGCCTGACCAATACCAAGGGATAAATCATCATCGCATTACAACTAGTCTCGTCAAAGTTATCAACCGTCTCGATTAAAGGGGTTTATAACCAAGGGTTGATAGAGAAGACCCTACGTTAGTCATCCATGATTAGACAAAGGTTACTAAGAGATTGAGAGAAATCCCATTTAGGGATTGGAGGTTTTGTTTAAGTGCGCGCTGAGCTACACGAGCCCTTTAGTACCCAGTAGCTGTGCCATCATCTCGCACCAGGGAGTTCGGGATACCGTAGTGGCTGCGTATATCTCCTCTACACTAGTAGCATGTGTTATTACACAGCACTTTGACTTAATACGAATTGGGGACAAAATTAGGGCGCTACTCCTCATACTATGGCGGCTGGTAACGCTTAACCTCTAACGCGAGTGGAATGGGATTGACTAACACTAACGGATGGTTTGAGGAATCAATAGGAGTACTGAGCTGAGTCTAGATCTTACTGTCTGCTAAAAGCTTCTCGGTTGCAATATTATCAATGCAGGATTAAGAGCTATTAATTTGTTGGGGATAGACGTAAAGCGACTCAGCCATAATGATATTAATTTTATTTTTAAGGATGGCAAGTGTTTAGAAGGCTTCGTACACTCACCTTAAGCATATTTAATATTCTGCTCTTTTAGTGTTTATAAGCTTTCAAACTAAGCTATATAACAAAATTAACAATTTTTTAAAATTTTGTTTAAATACGCAGCGACGTGAAGTTTCTACCGGGACTACATTTGTGAAATAGCACCGCCAATTTTGGTACTTCTGTTTTTGTGAGGATGTCCCGATTACACGAGTTGGCAGTTGATTTGGGTATATTGTCATTCATTGGGAGCTTGTACCCTTTTTTGACTTTATTACTGTAGTCATGCAAGTGTTGGTAGTTCTACTGCTCGTATGTTTTGGTTGCGTTTCTCTACGTGCAAAAAATCAGTCGTACTTAGTCTGTAAGGGTGTGATCTTGTTTCTCATCTGCAGGCATTGAAGTGGACAAATTTGCCAATCGAATCGAAGAAGAAAAACGCAGAATAAATGGTAGGTTCTTTGCAAGCCTACTTTTGTAGGAACGCCATATTTTATATACAGAGCAAAATCATCAACTGCATAAGTAACAAGCACATCAAACGTGCAATATTACTCAGCCTATTTTGGGGTGTTCTATGCTGCTAACAGCTGATAGACTCATTTATGGTTCCTTAGGCAATAACTTTACATTTTTAATCGTTATACCAGAAGCAAAGGCTCGATTCGACCGCCAATTGAAACAACGCCTAGACAGGGAGGAGGAGGCATCATCACTGGAGGCTGATTTGGAGCGCCTTCAGAAGACCTTGTTCGTACCGACCTCTGCAGCCGCCACGACCACATGTGGGCCCTACCTACTGAAGGCTCTGGGCGAAGTTAGGGCTGCGGCTCAGCGTATGAGGTGAGGCTGGGTTATCCCACTTTTTATCCAGTCTTCACTCGTCAATTTCATGTCTTGTCCCTCCTGGTTCCATCTGATACCTTTCATCAACTGTACGTCTGTCTAGTGCACAATCAACAATTCCTCCAAACTGCTCCTGACCATTTACCCAGCCGTCTTCTCATTCACTCTTAATCTATCTATCTGTCAATCTCCATCTAATCCACCTATCTGATCTAGTCTCTCCTTTCGTTGTTCCCGCTTGCATTCCATTTCTCGAAATTTATCCGTGTATCATACATTCATCCATCCCACGCCCATGCAATATGCAGTTATTTCGAGTTTACCCCTTCAGTATCTTTTGATCTACATTGATTCCATTCTGTCATCCATCTTAAATATTTCCATTCGTTTACTCCAAGTTCACCCATCTCTGAATCTTAGATACGTAGATATATCCTGGCTTCATCCATTCATTCATCCCTGATTTATCCATTCTTGGGACACGCGTCTGTTCTGCATCCACTCCTAATCAGCCGATTTGTCCTAGATCCCCATTGCATATAATACAGTTCTATCCACAAATACATAATTTTACATTTGTTTCGCATGCATCAGTTAATTCCGGATCCATTAATCATGATACATTAACACTTAATTTGTTTATCCCAATTCTGTTCATTCCATTCCGTTTATCTTTATTGAATTCCCTAAATCTTGCAACACTCATTCATTTGTCACATGTATTCATCCATCCGTCCTAATTCCTAGTCATTCATTCATCCATTCCTCGATCTGTTTTGAGCTTAATCATCCATTCAACTGCCATTCCATCCGGCCTCTATTCCTGCCAACCAATTATCGGTTTATTCAGTGACAGCAATCTATTATCATCAGTTGCCTCTCCTAGGGATGAAAGAATGGAGATCCTAACTGAATACAGGACCAAGCTGGATCAGTGCGAGGTGTTATGTCGTCGGAACGCCATGCTGGAGGCCTTCATTGACACCTGGCGCAAGAGTCTAGCTGAAGGCAAGAATCTCTCTGGTAAGACTGCCTGCTACTTCCATCGATCTTTTTGTCACCCGTGTGTATTTTAGAAATTGAGATTGATATTGCGGTTATAACGCAGATTAACCCCCTCAATTTGCAATGACAAGTTTTTTTATTATTATTTCTAGTTGGAAAATAATTAATGAGATGAAAGTAATTACGATGAGACGCATCATTTAATCGTAACCTTCTGCAGAAATTATCTACACATTCTGTTGGCTTCGCTACCCTACTGACTAGTTTCAAGTGGTGGCGGATTGTTCGTTTTGGTTCATAATTCGCTCATTTTACCACAAATGGATGTGTGGTTTCAACTGGATTACTAATTTCTGGTTTAGATTTCACCATGTTGTTTCCTTTACGCCGCTCGTGTTGCCACCGGCAATAGTGCTTTAAATCTGGTTTGGACTATCGCTTTTGGTCGACAAATTTTTGCATTTTCTGTGGTAAGGAGTACATGAGTAAGAAAGTGGGTTTCAGCGGAGTTTACCCATCGTGTTCCTTTTGCTTGATTCGCTCTATCACAGTCGTGAGTGGGCGAATGAGATTGGAGCAATCCTTGTTGGTCTTTGGCGCTCATTTACGAATACGTACTTCTGCACCGGCCATCAAAGCGACAACGGTAGCTGGTGTCACGGCCATCCTCGGGGTTCCTTAATCGCAGCGAAAAACCTCTTTTATTGACAAATGACGTCGTTTTAATAGAGGTGTTTTGCTGAAGGCTGGGGGATATTTGACAACCACCAAAACTTGTATTTGAATCGCACTGTATAAATGAGGATTATAAAATCAAAAATGGGTTTTCACAGATCTTCTTTGATGTTATTAATCTCTTATTATGAAGGCGGGAAAATAAAAGGATCTAGTAAATGCTAATTCGTTTTTCTTTTACAGAGTTGCCGGAACTCATCAAGAAATTGTAAGTCTCAATTTTTCTTCTTTTTCATCGTCACCAACTACAGATCGGAGGAAGTGGCTCACTTCTACTCCACTCCTGTGCACCAGTTGCTGGAAGAGGCGCTAGCAGAGGTGGGTTTGTTGTGCATCCCAAAAACTGTTTCTTTATGTCAAAGGAGGGATGCAGGACGCGTGTTAACACTTTCTAACGACAATCTCTCGCAACTTTTATTTGGCGGATTATTCTACTCGTTGCTAATCGGTAGATAGTTATATTTCAGTGTCGTTGGTTTGATTCGCTATAGCTTAGGCAGTACTTGCTTTCGCCTGTGCTGTTACGCGGACGTAAGCGGTTTAACATTTACACCCTGGCAGGCACATTTAACATTACTAGAGCAAGGCTCACGTACCTCGTGGCAGAAAGAAATGGCAAACTTTACGACGAGGTTAAATTAGTGCGTGTGTTGTGTCTTTACGCGAAAACCCTGCGTAGTCGAATTTTCAATTACCGTAAGCAATGCTTGACCCTAGGATGGCCACTTTTGTTTTTCTCCCAGACACCCAACGCGGCCGGCGATTCCGCTATGGAGGTTTCAACGATAAGTGCGTCTGCAACTGGGACGATGCTGCCACCGGTTCCCCCTGAGACAGTGAAACTCCCGACTACCACAGCGACGCGTTCAGGTCTGGTGGACGAAGCAATCTGCAATGCGACGACGGTGGAGACGTCGATGTTTCGGGTTCGTGGCGGTACAGAACCCTCCATCCTCCTTGGGCAAAGCAGCCTGGGCGAGTTTAGCCGCCTTGACTGTCTGGATGCTACGCTAACGGATGGGCAGGGTGAGTGGGTGGAGAGGTTTTGGAACAGCCGAGCGTTCACTTCCCATTTTACTTCTCTGTCTACCTTTATTGCTCCATCAGAGCCACCAGTTTAGTTGATAAACGTAGCATGATCACATTGAATCATGAATTTAGAACATACAACAAAGTAATGAACAAAGTGTGTGAATTTCATATCAAAGATGCCTAAGTACGAATGAGCCGATACGGGATCAGCTCTCTGTCTTGGAAATAATTTTTGAAATGATGAGTACGCCTGGGCGACATTTTGTACCATTATTGTGAAAATTGGTAATCACTTGTGCAATTTCTAGCTGGGTTGGGCTTCGACCAGGCATTACATGAGTTAACTGACCGTTGACTGTTCGATTAACAGCGTCTAGATTGCTCCACGATCTACTACCGGGCTATCAGTAGTACGCTGGTTATGCAAACTTTTGTTTAGAACGACCGGTTAAATGGTCTCATCCGTTTCACTTTAGGTCTTTTTATCGACCACTATTAGTTGGACGTCTTCCCCACCTTACTTTGAATCCCTTCTTATTTCAGGCATCTACTCAGAAGAGGCGCTTCACAAGCTGATGCAGGCGAGAGCTGATGTGACACTCGACCAGGATCAAACTCTCTAGTTCGCCATTCTTTCCTCCTGTTGACGGTTCACTGTATTCATATTTGTTCTCCTTTGCTCAAAATGTTCAATTACTAGCGCATTGTTGATGGTAGGAAGTTGGAATAACTGAAGCAAAGCATGTTTTCCCATGATTTTGGTGCATAGTTGTGTCAAGAACTAAGGTGAAATATGGGAAAGATCTGAGCTGTTTGTTGATATCAGAATGGTTAATGTGCAATCAAATTGACATGAATTTTAAAATGAGGGACGTGAATCGGTATACTACAATTTAGAGGTCATTTGAGACCGTTAAATTATGCTGGATAATAAGCGTGTTGTACTCAAAAAGGCTTTTGTAATATTTCAAATGGTTGAAAGCCTGGGAACTGATGAATTTTACTGCTATGTTGCTGGCAGCATAGTGAACTGTCGACGTACGTAAGTTAGGATTGGCAGTACGCGGGAGACGTCGGCTTGTGCTTTGTTGTCTGGAAAACACTTTAAACCAAACGGTGCGTATCTGCTACTCGGTCTTACTGACGGATGCAAGATCCTACGTCTGGGCTCACGTGATCTCCGGAGCCAGTGCCAGTGTGGTTCAGTAAGTGAGATCGTGGTTGTTTTACTGAGGCAATCAAACTGGATAAAATGGCAGTGGCAGTTGGTTAGCCGTGAGCAACCGCAAGGCTATTAGGAGTGCGCCTGCCTCCAGAAGAGACTGCGGGTTGTGTTCCCGTGGGTGTTTAGTTAGTGCTTGCGCTCATTGTTTCATAGACATGCAGTCAATTTCAGTGAGCCACTGACTGCCATTGGAAGGGCGAATGCTGGCTCAGTTGAATGGAAGGGGAGTTCTGATGGTCTAATGCATATGGGATCGGTTTTCAGAGCTGAAGAGTGTGGGTCTGAGTGCTACTTCGAATTAATGGTTTACAGCCTTTCCTGATGGTGTGGGCCCAGGTGATTGGGGAGTGGATGTTGACCCGTCGTTTATGCCCAAATTTCATACTGTAATTCTCTTTGTGGTGATTTAGTGGAGTCACTGCTCCCATGTCACGAGTCTCTTCACGTACGTGAGTTTCGATTGACGTTTTGTACGAGACAACGTCTTGTTTGCGCTTTGTTGTCTGGATTACACTGCAAACACAAAGGCGCGCATGGGCTACTCAGGCTCCCTGATGGGTGTAGGATTTTACGTCTGGCCTAAGGCAAAATTTGGCTATGGTCGAAAGATTCAAGCACTAGTAAGTCAACAAATGCCGGTATCGTGCTCTGCCCGAGTACGGTGTCTTTTTCGTCTTCAAGGGAGTCTTGGTGCGCTACCTTTCTGATATTGTACCTGGTTTTATACTTACGCTCGTTAAAAGCGTCCTCTCTGACAAATATGCATTCAACCAATTCGAAAGTACACCAATTTATTTTACTGATTTATTTCACTTTTCAAATAAAGTGGGCGACTAATAATCCCTCGCGTCTCTGTCAATCATGCATTTGAGGAGATATTTAACTGAATGCTCCACACGGAGCTGAATGCAACGTAAGTGGTATTCCAAGATTTTTGTCATTTCACGTAGCTTTTGGGCGAATTGGATGCCTTCACCTTTGCATCTTTTCCAACCCTTTAAATGTTATTCTCAACCTAATGCTTGACAAATGACATGTTTGTGTCGCTGCAACGGATCAATGACAGGTAAGAGGAATATGAACAGAGAAATAATCGGGAGTGAGTAAATGTAGTGAGAATGCTGAGCCTCCATCTGCACCTTCAATGATGAATGGCATGGCGCCAAGTGGACTGTTTGCGCAATGCCAAAAAAGAAATTGTGACAGTCAGAAGCTTACTAGAGTACTCTGTGGTAATACATTCCTTCATTTACATGGGGGTTCGTTAACACTTTATTGCATGTGATCGTCATTTAAATCTTCACCATATACTGCACTTTCATGGAAGCATCCTCACACCGTCAAATGCCAAGTTGACATCCTGGCCTCGGTTGTGATGTCACATTGTTGATGTGGAATATTTTGCTGTATTCAAAAATTTGATGCTGGAAGCTCATACCTTTGGATGGTCACACTAAAGTAAGGAGGCTTGAAATCAGCATGGTGCAATGATTCCATCATTTCCTTTGCCATATTTCCACCACTGCGAGTTCGAGCTCTTGATGGGTTGATCTTGCTCTTTATCAAGAAATAACGAGGATTAAAAGCAAGAATGCCTATTTTCTTTGAGCAGCCTCTTAAATAATGTTTCGAATCCACCAATTCAGCTCCAGAATGACGGACAACAACGATCCTGACGTTGAAACCAAATCACAAACCGTCTTCCTAGTATGAATGACTGGGTTTGTTCTTTCAATGGCTGTTTCACTCACCTGCTGTCCTCAGGATTGGCACAGCCCGTGAGCTCACGTCTCACCCTCAACCATCCGTGACAGAAAAGCTGCAAGACTGTGTAAATTCTCTTTCCTTTGTGGTGTCTGCGTGACGAATTGATTCACATTCACGCTATTCCTGGTGCCCATTCTAATCGCACTGACGTTAATCAAACTCCTTCTTCACATTCAAGGCGACGCAAGGCGACAGCAGCAGGGAGAGTTTGCATCCGTTAATTTTATCAAGAACAGTAGCAAGGTTAACTGGATAACAACTTAAAGAAGGTAGCGTTTTATGAGTTACAAATGCATTGAAGGTAAACCACAACTGCATTTCTTCGAAATCAAAGTATCAACCTTATCATCCATTAACCTCAAAATAATCAAATTGCCAAACATGAGACATTAGTAAAATACATTCATTTGCAAAAAACTCCAAAGATCACGACCACATACCTCTTTGTGCTATGTGAACACAAAGAGCATGTCTTTAAATTTAGGTGTCGTCCATGTTTTGTTCACAGAGACATCCAGTTCCAACGGTGGTAATGATTAGATAAATGCGTGGAACCACCGCGAATGCGATCATTAAGAGTTGGAGGCGCAAATCATTCGCAAGATGCATATATTGCCAAACATTGAGGTATCATATCTGAAAACTAATACACGCACCACTACGAATCAAAACTAACGTGATTTTCTTTCGATGACCTGGCGTTGAGCCTCTGGTAGCTCGGAAGGAAATGGGGAGGGAACTTTTGCAACGGGATTCACCGCATCCCTTACTACGGTGAAATGTACCTCCACCTTTTACTGTTGCTGCCAATGACGATGGTGGTGAGATTGAGTTAGGAAGAGCCGTGAGAGGGGAAGGCAAACGAGGAGACAGGGAGGCGTGTTGGGTGCATTCGTGTTAGGTAAGCATCCTTCCCCTACCAGAGGCTCGTCCTCTCACAGTGCTGGGTGCTGCTGTCCAGGAAGAGGATGCCATTTGTGCCGGTGTGAGAAATAGTAATTCTAGGAACAATGTGAACTGTGCATTAATGACAGGATAGGTGATGGAGCGAAAGACAAAGGCAAGTTTGGGTACTTTGATGTAACTAACAGTCATCAGGCTCATTAGAAATGCCTTGGCTAATGAGTTTAAAACATCCGGATACCAGAAAGACAAAAACAATGAGAACGAAGCTCTAGCTTGGTAAACAAATGAATGCAAGACCAGGCAAAGTGGTTCTGCATGGCCCTGCTTGACGGCACTGAGGAACGAAAAAACATGAGGCAATCAAACTGAATCATCAAAGTAAATATGCAACCGGCAAAGAATGACAATGATTTCAAGGCCAAAGGCGCAGATCCCACAACTTGTAGTACACTAAACAGACATTTAGCCCTCGTCATTAACTGTGAAATGTGGGCATTCTAAAAATAGAATAGACGAGAAAGAGATAACCATGGAAGATTGGATATTTAAGATCAAAATCGCATTTACGGGAGAGCTCTTGCCCTTTCCCAAAAGGTGCTGCCTTTGTACAAATTGACGATGTATTGGGCGTCTTAAAATTTCACGCCTAATGGGAAGGATTGATAAAAATTCTAGCTTAAAATGGTGAACTCGATGGTTCTCTCAGTGTACATTGGGAACGAATTTATGTCAAGTTTAAGAAAATATGGACAGTTGCAAATATTTTCTAAAGAGGTACTAGAGACTAGACGCAGAAAACTTCTCAAATTTCTTTATAAACACAACCACCTTAGCTTGACAAACTAAACCTTCCGGTAATCACAGCGTAGCTCGTCAAACAAGGCACAGTGGAGTAAGTAAAGTCATGCAAAAATCGTCCTGTATCTGGTGAACCAATCCACTGAAGGTACTTTAGATATAGCGAGTTCAAACTTCATAGACACGATGCAATTCAGTCATTAGCTGATATTTTTTGAGGACAACTGGGAAAATCCGACACGAATGCAGCGTTGTAGGACTGTCCATCGTTTATGTAAATAACTTTTTAAATGATTAATGCTCTTGGACGACCTTGTTTATAGTTATGGTGAGAGTTAACAATCACTTGTACAATTTCAAGATGGGTTGTGTTTCAACCAACCGTTGCGCACTGTGAATAGAACCACCACGACAATATTCATCGCTGACAGACGGAGGAATAACAATCAATCACCTAGAATGTCTTGCGGCTCTACTCTACAGGTAGGTACTCGCTTTTTTCGTCATGATGTGCTCTTCCGTATACGTACACGGAGTCGGTGGATAAACGGTGTTGAGACTGCTGCACGACCTACTTGCCGGCTATTGGTAGTAGGCAGATCATGCAAATAACTTTAATTTTGCATAGCCGGTCACATGTTCCTGTCTGTTTTACTTTAGGTGTTTTATCAATCGCTATCTATTGAACGCCTTCCTTACTGCAATTTGAAATCAGTTCTCATTTCAGAAAAGAAGAGGTGCCTCGAAATCTGGTGCTGGCGAGAACTGGTGTAAGACTAGACCAGGATCAAACTCTTCAACGTACAATTCCCTCCAGCAAATTGTAGTTTAGAAAGCATTAGAATGGATAATCAGTGTTCTTCTTCGAAATGGCTTTTAGTAATTTTGAAAATAACTGTAAGCCTAAGGAGCACTAGGAAACGGGAGAAGGTGGTGCCATATTGAAGCAGTAGGTAGCGTGTCTGGATCCTAAGGAGGAGGATGGGGATTAAGGGATGCACGCACACTGCCCTCTCCCAGCGACTAAATATTCGTATCCTTGGCATTTGTCTCTCTCGTCTTCTCTTTATCTCAGTCCAATTGATTTACACTGATCACAATTCAAACGGCATTTCTCAAGCGTATCGTATCCCATCACATTTAGGGTGTGAAGTTGTGTGGCGTGACGCTACCCTGGATTACCTGTGCAGGAGCATTGCACACATGCAAGCACAATCGCGTGGTGCGTGGCAGTCGTGGAGAGTACCTAGTTGAGCCTATGCAGCAGGCAGAGACAATTAGGGTGCAGCAGAGGAGGGTTGTGGAGTGCTATGCAGAAAGAGTGGAGGGCGGTGCCGCAGTAGCGCAACAGATAGCACGTCTGGTTGCTACCAAGAATGTTTTGTTTTCGAATCCCACTTACGTTACGTGCTTGTGCTCGGAGGTGTGATTGCTGCTAGCGTCCACTCTCATTTCCACCAACTAGCGTGTTTGCTGTCACCCTCTCCCGCAGTCCTCACCTATGACACTTCGTATGTCTCCTTGTCTCCTCCCCGTTCTCACCTAGTCCATTTGCTTTGACTACATTTCAATTGGCACTGCTTTGGCGCCCTCTTCCCTATCTTCCTCCTCCCTCGCTCCTTTGTGGCCACAGCACTCCTGTTTATTCACATATTATTCTCTGCCATCTCATATTCACCTGGCTCCTTGCCTCTCCTCTACTCTCATCAACTGTGCTCTCTTCTCTATGGGCCAGCACACCTCCACATTCGCTTCTGCAATTTACTTTGGCACGTTGCAGTAGCAGTTTTGTGAAGGAAGGGGGGGGGGTGATGAAAAGAGATGGAATACAAGTGTCCAGTGAGTTTCGGGCAGGCAACGGGAAGAGAAGACGAGGGAGGGAGGTGAGGAGAAGGGAAGGCAGAATAAGCCCGCATCCTGAAGTGATTTGAACCCGCAAATCAAATCCAATTTGGAGTCAGACGCACTACCTCTGCGTCACCACCACCACCAATAGGGCCAATCATGCCATGTGCACGATCCCTCATTGCAGTGCTCGTACTCAGTCACCTCAGCATCGCCGCACCAAGTGCTGCAGCGGCAGTTTACTCCAACCAATGGTACGTCTGTTGTGCCTTTAGCTGCTTGCCCAGGAATCTT